CTTTCCAAAAACCCCATTCTAGACTAACAGTGAAACAACCAAAAATAAAAAATAATCATTTTCACTTGGGGGACATCTCAATATATTCACCCACATAGATAAAAAACTGGAAAAAAAATGCTCCGAAATTTTAACATTATTTTATAGAAAAAATTGCTATAGCAGTTATATAAGTTCTATAGAACCAAAATATCACATGACTGAAGATGTGGTGGATAGCAGTTTAAAAACGAATTTGTGTTTTCGAGTTTCGCAATTTGGGTTAAAATTGCTTTGATATTTTCTTTGTTGGTGACGTGTAAATTTAATCGTATTTGAACAAAATTAACCTCATGTAGCTTATTTAACACTTTCGCTGCTGACTGGTATGGGCAATCGACCCCCAGAAACTGAAATAGTTTGGGAAATATTAAACAGTTTGAAAACAAGAAAAGTTTAAAACACATTTATTTTATAAAAAAAACTCAGGGCTGGGACGTCTTAAGACGTCGTCAGCCACCTGCTAAAAAAATTTATCCAGAGGCGGAAGACGTCTATGTCTAAAGGATTACTAAAGGATAATAAGCGATATTTTAGTGGACGTCAAAAGGCGCCGTTCGCCTCCCACTTAAGAAGCGGTGGCCGTCTTTAGACGCCTTTAGCAGCGAACGTGTTAATGGGCCAAAATTCCGTTAATTCATCAAGTCCAAATATGTATCAAAACCGTTACAGGTAATAAATTACAAATTAAGTTTGCAATAAATGTTATTCTCCTTTGTTACCACATGTTTTCATCAACAAAGATACATTCAAGAAAACCTATAATGAGACATATTCTCACATAAAAATTAATTTGATATGGTCAGATCAGATTTGTGTTTGATTATAAATTTACAGCTAGTGCTTTATAAGAATGGATCTTTGTGGTCTAATGAGGTAATTTGGTTTATAGAAATGTTTATATGTGTCTATTTATACACTGAAAGAAACATACACGGTGTCCAAAGTTAGCTGCGTTCCATTGCTAAATTTGTTTTTATTGCAGCTGCAAATTACACATTAAAAAAAAATAGTTTGAACAAAAATTATTATTGCATAAACTTAAAAAAAAAACAATTAATAACCTGTTGAACTTTATGATTGTTGTTAAAATAAATAACAAAGATATTGGCCCAATTTTCGTAATAATATTGGGCGAATACATCTTTCGTCAGATTTTTTCTAGCATGGTCCAATATTGAAACCCAACATTGGCCCGAAGTTGTTTGACATTATACGAGGTGTGTTCAGAAAATAACGGGAATTGTTAAATTTCGCGGTTTCGGAGGGTCCGGTTGTCATAAAATTGTCTTTATTATGTTGGTATGATCAAAACTTTCATTGTTTACTTTGTCTGTGGCAGCAGCTAAGGTTAGACGTGTTTTATGAGCTCGGCGATTTTTCGTTCGTTAAAAGAAATGGATCAAAGAATTTGTATCCAATTTTGCTTAAAAAATTAAATAAATTCTGTGAAATGTTAACAAAGGCCTATAGTGAGTCTGCTATAAGTAAAACAAGAGTTACCAAGTGGTATAAGAGTTTCCAAGATGGCCGTGAAGACGTTGAAGATGACGAACGCCCCGAACGCACAAGCACATTAAAAACCGATAAAAATATGAAAAAAGTGGAAAAAATGGTTATAAACCATTAGAGAAGTCGCTGATGATGTTGGTACATCGATTGGCTCATCTCATGAAATTTTTTCGAATGTTTTTGGTATGAAACGCGTGGAAGCAAAATTTGTTCTAAAATTGTTGAATTTTGAACAAAATTTTTGGCCAAAAACAATACTGTAATGATGACCCGCCTCCATATTTGCCAGACATGCCTCTGTCTGACTTTTTCCTATTCCCAAAAATAAAGAGAACCTTAAAGGGCCGTCGTTTTGCAAGCATAGATGACATTAAAAGCGCATCGCTGAAAGAACTTAAGGCTATCCCAAAGATCGAGTTTCAGAAGTGTTTCGAGTATTGGAAGAAGAGCTGGCACATGTGCATAATATCCAATGGGGACTATTTTGAAGGCGACAACATTAATGTAGACGAATAAATAAATATTCCTAATATTTTCTAAACACACTTCGTTTAGTGCGGTCTATCAGAATTGGTGATAGGCATTTTGCCTAGAACCCTGTCTCTACTAATACTAGATATACAAATGTCATTTACAATAATAATAATAATAATTATTATTATTATTTATTCCAGTGCGAGGTATTTTACCTTTTTATATAAATAATTGGAATCCTGTTTGTAACTGGATTGACTTGTTTGTTTTTAAATATCTTTGGAAATAGGATGTCGTTATTCCAATAACTTTCTCATGCAGCCGTGTTTGCGGATTTTGAAGATAATCATAATTAATTGCGTGCCATTATTTATAGAAAATATCTTGAGGGCATGGTGGGTTAGTCATATTAATGGAACCTTTAATTTATTTTATGGAAACTTGCATATATCCAAAGATAAAACACAAAGGCGAGATTCTTATCTTAAAAGAAAGATGAAGCCCACTCTAAGCGTCTTGGGGCACATTTTGCATATAACGTAAGAAGTGTAATAAATCAGTATAGTATTTCAATTCTTTTCAGGTCTGTAAGAATATTTTTTTATTTGTCCGAATATAGTATTTGTTATTTTTTTTTGTAAAACAGTTTCCCACCTCTAAGATACTTTATCTTAGATACTTTTTATATTGGACAGAAAGTATCTTTAACTAAGTTACTTTGGAAAAGTATCTTGTAACTTGTACTATGCTCCACACCTCAAAGTCCCATCACGTGACCAGGTACGGAACGCAGTCTTTTGAAAATTTGGCATTTAAGGCTTTTCAGGTTATGTATCTGTCAAAGTATAGTCAATAAAAGAAATAATATTTATAGTGTTACCGCTTATGTTTAAGCGTTAAAAGTTAATAAATCTTTATAGTATCACAATAACATTGGTTGGTTTAAGAATTTAGGAATATAAATAATGCAATTAATGAAATTCCAAAGTGTAAGGTGATATTTTTGCATTGGGTCTACATTTCTCCATAAAATAGTTTTAACTAAACAGGATTTATTAAAAAAAATCTAACTTCTCTATTATGAAATAAGAATATCTGTACCTATCAAAGGTAGGTTAATGTATTAAAACTAAAAATATCATCTAATTTTGTATTTTAAGGTTAGAAAAATATATTTTGACCAAAATAAATAAGTGGATTATTTGGAAGACTGTGTTAATATGGTCATAAATAAAAATAGGTATACTAAATAATTGTTGAATATGGTTAAAAATAAATTGAAGCTTTTATACTTTTATACTAACGACAAAACTTGTGCATACCTCTCGGCATACCTACTTTAAGTTAGATTATAAGAAAACAAACAATTTTTAGAGAAATTTGCAATGTGAAAATATTGAATACTCCCATATGATTTATTAAAATATTAAAGTTATAATGATTTTTCGATGTAGATCAAATTCAGTCGAAGCTTTATAACTTTTGGTATTGAGAAAACTTTATGTAGGTACACTTTAAGCTGGATAAGAAAAACTACCACATTTTTAAATACCATATTATACTGTCTTATAAATAATCCAAAATACTTATTTATTTTGGTCTAAATAAATTTTTCTAACCTTAAAATTACAAAATTAGATATTTTTGTTATAATATATTAACCTACCTTTAATACAGATATTCTTATTCCATAATAGAGAAGCTAGATTTTTTTAATAAATGCTGTTTAGTTAAAATTATTTTATGGAGAAAACCAGATATTTGGACCAAATGCACAAAAATATTACTTATTATTACTTTAGAATTTCATTAAATGCAGTATTTATATTCTTAAATTCTTAAACCATCCATTGTTATTGTAATTTTATAAAGATTTATAAATTTTTAACGCCTAAACATAATATTATTTCTTTCGTTGACTATACTTTGACAGATACATAACCTGAAAAGCCTCTAATGGCAAATTTTTAAAAGACGGCGTTCCGTACGTGGTCACATTGTGGGACTTTGAGCGATTACTTCGTCTCACTTTTGTTTAAATTCAAGCGTGCTCTTCACCGGCACCGATAGACGGCCTGTTTCGCTCTTTTGGAGCTCGTCAGTATCGGGTAGCCGTTTACCTAGGTCTAAGACCGTTTGGTATGGAGCACGGTCTAAATTCTACTTCGCCGCTTCTTATATCAAACACAAGCAGTTACAGCGGTGAGAAGAAAGTAATCGCATTAAAATGTCATAAATGTGACGTCTCCATGTTGGCTTCTAAAAGAGTTAATAGTATGATTTCAATTGGAAGTAAGAAAAAAGAATACTCTGTAAGCTCTAAATAAATTGTTCAAAAAGAGGTCAAGAAAAGATCTTCATTTGTACGTAAAAAAATTGACTTCTTATTTATGAGTTCATTAACAGCTCAGAATTCTGAGCTCATAAAAAGGAGCTGTTTAAGACGTCATGTTAGAACTTCTACACGAAGTTGTTTAAAAGACTTCATACTGAAATCTTTCTGAATTGGATGCTGACTGGGTTAGATACTTTCTTAGAGAAAATTGGGGGAATTCCAGAATGATTCAAAGTAATTACCTAACCTACAACTTGTTGAATTTTCATAATTTTATAGTTTTTATTCATACTTAAAAGTATCTTAGTTACTTAAAAGTATCTTAGTTACTCAAAAGTATATTACATACTTTCGGATAGTATCTTAGATTCTTTTTAAAGTATCTTGAAAGGTAAGTAGGTTATTTTGTTTAAAGTATCTTAGAAAAGTAACTAGATTCTTCTCAGAAGTAACTTTTCCAGCTCTTTGTGTATATTATAATTCGTATTAATGATTGAAAATATTTACTTTAAAAATGGTCTGAAGTCTAAAGTCTAAGCATACAAATAATATTGCCGCCTGTTAAAACTGAACTAATTACTAAAAAAAAGTTTTGTCCTCCCGAAGCATTTTTATTGTCGAGTATCATCAACAAACCCACCTGTCACTGGTGCACTGGTACAATTCGACGGAAGAGTTGAGCTCGGCCAGCTGCTCCTTGAGCAGCTGCAGGTTGGAGTTAACGAAGCTGAGTTCCAGGGCCACGGTTTCCCTGAGCTTTCGGTTCGTCGTGGCCTTGAATAGATTTTCGGCTCCCGCGCGAAGCCGCAGCTCTTTGTTGATCTCCTGGTTCAGCTTCGAGCGCCGGTTCTGAAGCTTTCCGCGGCATGTCGCCACACGTGGATCGGAACCCTGAGAAAAAAGAAAAAAGTTTGAATATTTGGGTGATTCTACAAAAGTTGGACAACTTGATGTCATCAGTCAATAGAGTAGGTTTTTTGTAAATATTTTAGTATATTACAAAAGATCCACATTTTTTTAACTTCTCCACCCAATTTTAATGTATTTTAAATATTCAAAATATCAGTACCTTGGCGTGTCACAACTCCTGAATCAAATATTTGAGTGATTTTATTTTAAAATATATTCAATTTATCTTAAATTTTTCAATTTCACTACAAACTATAAAACATTAAATAATGTATTTTTCATATTTTAACAAAGTTTCGAATAATAGCAATTTTTATAAAATTGATAATCTTTGTACTCACTTTTACCCGTCAGTTCTGTGTACAATGTTAAAATTCAAAATTCCTGCGAAATATTAAAGTTTAAACGTCAAGTCCTCGTTTTAACTCAAGTGTTGGTAAAAAATTACCTTCAGAGCCCGCCCTTTGCACGACAGTCATCTTGAAAACAATGCAAGCGGCGAAGTTGTTGTAAATGCACGTATAGTTTCAGTCAAAATTTCAGTAGGGGAAGGTGGGGGAATTTTGCGCGGTGGGTAATTTTACGCATAAACAATTCTTCCAGATATGAAGTTAATAATACATTTTTTGAATGTTGCAAACTTGGAAACGTTCCATTGGGTATACGGGGACTAAAGTGTACCGCAATTAAGCTTGCAGCTTTTAGCTAGTAACCATGGTCACTAGCTAACTGTGATACATGTACGTTGATCTAAGAAATCCATGTCGTTTCCGCTACGAGTTAAGTTTAAATTTCTGTCCAATGTTTATAACACAACTTTATATGATTTTTCCTCGTAATCTGGTGTATGTTTAAATTGTTCAGGTTAACTTCTGGAAAGTTTTTTAGTATCACAATATTTTTCTTGCAATGGGGGTAATTTTACGCTGAAAAATTGGGGTAATTTTGCGCTGCAAAATTTGGCCAATATGGGAGCTTTGGTACAGGAGCCTAGATTGTTCAGCATAAACAGTTCCATTTGGGCACACGCGGAGTGTAGCGAAAAAAACAACATTTTATTTTTAGTTATTTATTTTTGATTTTGTTTGTTTTGTTTGTTTCATAGAGAAAATAGTTATGTTTTATTTTTATGTTTTAATATAATAATATTATAGAAATAAACGGTTTATTTAAATACCTACAAATATTTCTCTATACAGCGCAAATTTTCCCCTATAATGCGCAAAATTACCCTGATAGGAGGGTAATTTTGCGCAAATGCATTATGTAAAAATGTAGTTTTTGCATACCAAACAATTTTTTTTATAAATTGCGCATTATATGCACATAGACTATCGCTGGTATTAATTGCAAAATTTCACATTTAAACTTAACAAAGATACCAGAGATTTTGCTTATATGCGCATAATTCCCCCACCTTCCCCTACTGTGGTGAGTAGTTATTTTCTTACGTATATATATTTCATTGTAATTTATATAAGGCTATGTGTGGTATTATTTGATTTTAAGATATTTAATGTATAATATGCTCAAAGTTGCAATAAATATTATATTTTCCAATAAATTATGTATTTAATTAGTAAACTGGTATACTCGTCACTTTCCTTGCATTCAAATTTAGAAAACACAGATATTTCAGAAACTGTTTGTAAAAGTGACTGGCCCGGTCTGGAACAGTATATTTATTATATTATCTATGTTCTCATAACAAAATACTATATAATTTTCTCCGAATACTATATAAACAAAATGAGGTCAAAAGTTTTGACGTCAGCGTATGCAACTTATGTTTACCAAATATTTTTTTACTGTGTAATTTAAGGTGAATAAGAACAAGATTATATTTTTTGTGTGTGTGTGGTTTTTCGTGAAATTAGAAATGTGGTTTCGGAAATCCAAAAAATGCAGACAAATTAAAATGTAATGCCAAATATGAATTTAATGGGTTAAATTTTAAGTAGGTAATTCATAAATCCAAATATCATTAGTTTTGGGAAACTACACTTAGATATAAATTTTAAGTAAATATAAATCATTTTATATCATATTGCAATTAAGATATGATCTGAAAGTTAATGACCTTCCTTATTGTAATTATAATATTAATTCTATATTAGTTGAGACCTTAACTCCATTAACTTATCGGAATTTCAAACTACAATATTTACACAATTAAGCAACTATTTATAATGCGATAATTGCTAATAATAAGAAATAATAAATTCCTGGTTGAGATGTTAAAAGTGATGGTGTACAGTTTTTTAATTAAGGAATCTTAATCGCCCAGTTCCTGGAATTTCGCGAAGAATTTAATGGGGGAATTTAAAATGTTACGCTTGTTATTATTTAGAAAAAAATTGAGTAGGCTTCAAATTAATTTAATTAGATTTAGGTAAGAAAATTTAATACCAAATGTTTGATTGATTTCTATTTTATAACATACATAAAATCGAGTAATCCTCTATAATTCTAGGCCCAGAGATCTGTGAGGTCATTTTATTGGTCCTTTTCTACCAATCCACTGTTCTTTATGTATATATAGTGAAATTTCCACAATTTATTGCTATGGTAAGTTTTTTATGGTTATTTATTATACTTATTGATTACACCTTTTGTTATATCTTACAATGTTTTTATAATAAATAATTATATTGTTATTAAAAATTTAATTTTCTTTTAACTAAATGAAAAAGTTATAAGTAATGAAAATTTATTGCCTACAAATTTAATCAAAAGTGAAATTGTTCACTAATAAATTAGTAATTTTTACTTTTATATAGTTTGGCTGATTAAAAAATAGTCATCAACATTGACTGTTTCTGGCAGTAAAAATTAAACAATTTCTTTAGTCGTTTTTAATTCTTGCTTTCAACAATAAACTATTGTTAGAGTTAATGCATGTTCTCTAAAAATGAATTAGTCAAAAATGACCATGGGATACCATGGTATCGCCAACATTTACATCAAATTTTAATGTAAAATTGACTCCTGAATCCAAAAGTAGAGCAGTTTTTGAGATATAGTCAATTCCATATTTTATGGAAAATTGACTATATCCCAAATAATGTTCTACTTTTATAACTTTTGTCGACATTTTCGGATTCAGGAGACAATTTTTCATGTAAGTTGACTGCTAAATGTTCGGAATACAAATTGCTATTGACGAGAATTATTAGTGGCTGCTTTTCGCTATGACAATTAGTCATTTTTGACTAATAAATTTTTAGACAGTGGTTAAATGGACGAAAAAACAATATTTCTACACTCTCTAAAAATGAATTATTCAAAAATGACTAATTTAATAGTTATTAGTGACTGCTTTTTCACTTGTACCATGGTTAACCTTGGTATCCCAAAATTTAACAGCCTATTCTTATGTAAAATGCAGTTTTTGAGATATATAATATATATATTAAATATTTTTTTACGACATAGAAAAAAAATTGGGAGCAAATATATTTAACACGTGAATAATACAAAAGTTTGCACTTTGAACAATGTTAACTAGGTAAGTTTTGTTTTTAAATTTCAACATTTATTTAAACATAAATATATAAATATCAACAATTTATTATTATGTATCAACAATTCAATAAAAATAACTATAGTGTATATACATATAGTATGTATAGTCAAAATGCCTTTATAGTAAGTTATATACATTTACCAACAAGTGGATAAAAAAAGAAAAGGAGATTTTATAATGCCTATAATTTTTAAACAAGATACCTAAGGGGTAAATCGATCCAAAATATATTTGTACGTATTCAGAAAGAAGATTACCAAATTTTGTTTCTAAAAATTAATGCATTTTTATAAAAAAAATATTAAAGAAGCATTGAAAAATATTAAAAATCACTAGCTATACTAGCTACTAAAACAAAAATAATATAAAAAAATATTAATTTCAGTTGATAGGCAATTTTTTTTATATGCCATTAAAACTTTTTTTTTTAACAATTTTTTATTTTTTGGGATTACATAGGCAAAAACTGTTATTAAACTAAAAAGAAAATTATTGCAAAAAAATAGAAAAACCCGTGTTGCATAGATATTATAATAAAGTTTTTGAATTGAAAAAATAGCGGTTGTCAAATTGGAAAAAAACTGCCAAAACCTGTGAATTTTAGAAAAAAGTGGTGAAAAATGTTATTATTTTTTTTTATATCTTATTAAATAGGGATATACATTTATGTATAAATTTATATGTATATGTCATCCTCCTGTACTTTTTTCAAAAAAGAATAAAAATACATTTTCTACTGAGAAATAACAAAATAAATTTTGCCTAGAATCAGCTTTCTGATTATAAACATATACAGGGGGTTTAGCGTTCGTGGTCCATTAAAAGTTTCTCCCCATGGGGAATGGATATTGATTTGATATTTTTAAAGCGTTTAAAATACGAGCTGTGACTTTATGGCGTTTTAGTCACGGTCTGAAGTTAGCAATAGTGGCTTTTGGGTATTTTAGTCACGGCTGAAGTTAGCTTTATTATAAATTAGAGAAAAGTGAGGTTAATTCCGTTGACATTTGACAAATGTCAAATGTTTAACAAATAAAATTGGATTTAAATTCTTCTTTGTGGTCGTCGTAGAAAAAGTATAGTATGCAACTCGTTTTATAAACTAATCTAGACACTCGCTTGCAAGCTTTGCTCGTGCTTAATAAAACTCGTAACTTGATACATAATATACTATTAAAAGATTTCATATAAATGAACAAACATGTATATGAACAAATTACTTGAGAAAAATTAGGCCAACTTGAAACGTTAATAACTTTATTTTTATTTTATTTTAAATGTATGTATGTTTTTACATAATTAAGTAGAAAATTCTAAAACATTTCCATTGATGTAACTATTCCCTATAATAATTTCAGAATTTTTAATATTACCCAAACAGCATTTTTAGTTTAATATCTACAAATTTACTACTAAGTCAACTTTAAAGTATTTTTTACGGTTAACCAAAACGGTTTTATAATGGTATAGATACGAAAAATTACCAAATTTGGGGAATGTTTTATTTCGTTATTTTACCTACAAAATAACCTTTTTGATCTACTAAGAGAATAACGTATTTAAAAACAATATAAATACCGTAAATTTACGTAAAAATAACGCTGTAATTACTAAATGTTTGCTCTCTCTTTCTAAAACATTGACATTCATAATTTCTTTGTTATTTTAATTTATATTTTACAAAATGGTACTTACAAAGTAATAAAAGCCACCCTAGAGTAAAATTAAAAAATATAACTTAAATTGTCAAAACTAATATCTAATATTTTGCTTTAAAACTCAAATGCACATTATTTTATTGATAAAAATAGGTACGATACATCTTAAAAATTATATTATATTATTATATACGGTTTTAAGAAAAATTATTGCTTGGGTAAAAATTCAAAAAAACTTAAAACCTACAAAATTTTATAAAATCTTTTAAAAATCATTTAGTTTTAATAATTTTTTTAATAACTAAAACTTTCCTTATTATATTTTAGAAAAATATTTATGAGAATAATATATAAATGTTTAGATAAGTAATGGATACCATCTTAAAAAAATCATTATGGCGACCTGAACAAAATTTTCCCTTAAAGTTTTATTTTCCACTTTAAGCTTATTTTTCCTTGTTTAGTCAATATTAATAGTATTTATTACCACTAATAACCCTAAAAAATACCAGGCGAATAGGTATTATTTACGGTTATAAAGCGGTCTTAATATCGTAAAATTATGACTTATGAGTAACATTTACCATTAAGTAAAAATTCTGAAGTTAAAATTACCGTTAAATTTTCCTTTAGGTGAAATACACTTATAAGTAATTTTCTTTCGTAAAAATTACGTCACTTATAATACTTTAAAGTGTTTAAACTTAAGGGTTATTAAAATAGGTAAAAATAACATAAATAAACATTAAATAACTTTAAAAAAAGTTTTACCCCAAAGAAATTTTTAACAAATTTAACAAAATATTTACTTAAATTAAGTTATATTGCCTCAAAGCTTTTTTTGTAACAATATTTATAACTTCTGGAATATTTTTTCATTTGATTCCTTACCACTATTAAATAGGAGGACAGATCCTTGTCGTCCAATTCTGGCGCTGATGGCCACCTAAAACCCTGCCTGTGTACCCACTTCAACATCACAGCCCGAGTCACATCACGTCACAAAACCAACGGTAACCGTACTACGACTGATGTCACATCGCCGTTGCTACGAGCGACGGCCCTTATCGGTATCAGCGATCGCGGGCGGTTTTCCGGATGGCACCTTAATGGCAGAAGTCATTACAATGAACAAACACTCGGAACTCGGTGCAATCGAACGTCCGTCGCGTTCGTGCCGAGACCTACATTATATTGGAAACGGCAGCTGTGAAATTATTGTAATCAAGTCGTACCGATAGCAGTTATAGCTAACTGTACGAGCTTATTATAAGTGTTCTTCTAGGCTTCCACTTTTGTCACTCGATTGCGTTTTTCTTATCATAATTTCATTGGTTATTTGTATTTCAATTTGTATGTACATATTTGTGTTGCCGCAAGAATGCGGGAATTTTATTGGCTATTTGCATTAGCGTGTTTGGTCTGTGGTGGGAATTTGTTTGATTTAATTCAGCATTTGGGGAATTTAAAGTATTTATTGATATACATGATTTATTAAAAGTCTATGCAGTTATTTGGTTTTGTAATTCGTAAGTAATTTTTTTTTAAGTAAAGGAAAAGAAAATATTTTATCAGAAACTATTTAAAATTCTTCTTCTAATTCCCGTTAAAATTTATAACTTGGGAATCTACCTGCGTTAAAATTAAATTAAAATTTATCCCTTAAATATAGGCTAACAATCGATATAGAAGCAGTTTTTATAGTAAAAGAGAAGAGAATGTTTTATGAGCACTGTAAGCAAAATCTTTAACGCTTTATCAGTTAAATCTAGTTAACTGCATTACTACGGCAAAATGAAACGTTCATATAATCTTTTCAAATATTGGCGTCAAGAAATTATTAATATTTTTGAATTTTTGTATTGAGATAATAAAATAATTTTCACATTTGGTATTATTTTACAAGAAAGGCACTTTATTTTATCGATTGTATGACATTTGACAAGTGTCAACTAACTTAAAACTAACTTCAGCCCGTGACTAAAGCGCCGTAAAGCCACAACTTGTCAATGTGTATTTAAAAGGTCACTTAGTGTCATGGAAACATGTACGATAAAGGCCGTTTTAAAGGTGGGAGTAGAAAAAAATATTTATAGGTACCTGTTATATAAAATGACCAATATTCTCCTATTAATACCGTACGAGTTAAATTGTAGATGACAAAATTAGTATAATTATTTTCAATTAAAAACACTTTACGTACATACTTTTTAGAGAATTGTCTCCAATTGACTCCAATTTAATGACAAAATTAGATTTTATTGTAATTTTTAAAATACTACTAAAATTTAACAAAATACATACCTACAATATATATACTTTGGTGGTAAGATTTTTGTTTTTTTGTTTAAATTACAATACAAAATATTTCTAAAAACTGTACAGATCAGCGTGTGGTATAAATATGTTCCTCCTGGTTTAAACATTGTCACTTTAATGCGTTTTAATTTTAATTCTAAAAACAAATATTAAAGTAATGGCCAGTGTCCAATTACTGGTTGGTAAAAAATGTAAATTTCTATTGTTGGACATATGTCTAATATCATACTTAAGTCAATTCTTATGTAAATTTGTCCCCTGAATCCAAAAAGACCGTCACAAACTATAAAAGTTAAGTAGTTTTTGAGATATAGTCAATTCCATATTATATGTAAAATTGATTATATTTCAAAAACTGTTCTACTTTTTTAACTTTTGACGACATTTTCGGATTCATACACTGAAAGAAATATATGTTTGTTTTAGCAATGTATGTGGACTACCACATAAAATATATTTACCTTAACCATTTTTATATTTAGTTTTAACATATTATGTTAAAACTAAATATAATATATGTTTGTTTTAGCAATGTATGTGGTAGTCCATATATGAACCACAATGCAATGCTAAAACAAACATATATTTCTTTCAGTGTAATAATAATATTTCATAGGAATTGACTGCTAAATGTCCTGGATACAAATTGCTGTTGACGAGAATTATTAGTGGCTGCTTTTTCGCTATGACATTTTTGACTAATTCATTTTTAGAAATTAAGTAATATACTGATTTCTTCGTCACAGGACATCTTGCAGATTAACAGTGATTTAAATACAGTGCATGATAGAGAACATACAAAACTAATGGCAACAAAATTAATAAATTCTTAAAATACTTATAAGATACCACCGGAAAAAATATTAGATATATATAAATCATCCTTTTCCGGCCTAAACATTATAAATGCTTCACAAACTAGAGATACCACACTATATATATGAATTTACAAAAACGAAATAAAAAATTACCTAAAACAGGAATTATCTTTAAAAAATATTTAACTTATTATTTTATTTGATGTAAAGTTGTTATGTTTATATAAAATTTTTTTGTCCAATAAATATGGTCCATGTGTCCAATTACTATATAAAATGTCCAATTACTATACTTTTTTATATGTTTTTATAAAACTATTATTAAAAATTCAAATATACCTATTTTTAAGTAAACGTAAATAAAGTTTAAACAAACAAACTATCCTTTTTATATATTTACAAGGAAAAAACGAAAATCTTTAAAACAAAGTCATATTTAAATTTTAAATAAATAATATTCCAATAACTATAGTTATATGTGGTTTATCCTACAATGTATATACTTTTTAGCGACAAAATGCATTTTTTGATATTTTAATTATCTAAGATTTTGATTTTGCATTGTTTTCAAAATACGGAGTGTTAAATTTTATGCAAAATATCCGCCACTGAGAAGAGAGGTGTGATCTAAAAATTGAATCACTTAATATGTCACGGAAAATTTGAAACGCCCGTATTAGGTGAGCATGAAGGATGTGTGAATGTTTTGCAAAAAAATATAGGTTTTAAGAATCAGTAACATAAAAAATTACCTATAGTTTAATTTGGATTTTAAACCCCACAATAATCCAATATTTGTTGTAATATATTATATATTTTGTATTGTAATTTTGAGAATCATTATGCATTATATTTGTTATTTACTTTTAAGATTTTTATCTGCATATTCATAAAATTGCTTTAACCTAAATAATTATTTATATTAATAAGAATACTATAAAAAATGTAACACTTGTTGTTTGAAAGAAAATTGACAAGTCAACTATTTTTAATACATTTTATTTATTCTCACTTTCTACGAATTGTATATAAACTCAAATTTTAACACGCAATGGTAATTATGTAGGATACATGGTATGTTTTTATATGGAGAAATTTATTTTTTAAATAATAAAATATTAATCAAAGCACTTTTTTAATAATAAATTATGAGGATTTTACTGCTCAATAATCATACGATTCAAGCCATAAATTTTGTATTAAAAACCTACTAATTTTAGAAAAATTACACAAGGGAACAGCATTTTTGTTGCATGAAATATTATGACTAATATTATACTTTCTCGGGGTGCATATTTCAGATCTGAAGTCAAATTGTTTGTATCAGCTTTAGTTTTTGAGATATAATTAATACGCGTTTTTTAAGAAAAATCAAATTTTTATTAAGAAAACCATTAGAAAAACAAGTACTACTTATCAAAAAATTTTCTTTTATAGGATTTTCTTGCTTGACTTGGTTCACGAGGGCTGTTTTTAATGCTCCAAGAATAGTCCGCCATCATGTGAGCATTCCAGTGACCCTGGTAACGTTCCTCCATAGTTCGAATGTCTTGTTGAAACCGTTCCCCTTGTTCTTCACTCAGATCACCAAGATTTTCAGGGAAACGGTCCAAATGCGTGTGGAGGAAGTGTACCTTGATGCTCATATTACAACCAAGCTGCTGGAAGTGTGACAACATCAGTTCAGTATGCTCCCCATAGCTTTCATACTTTTTGTTTCCCAGAAAATTTTGTGCGGTCCAAACGAATTCATTCCAGGCATTTTTTTCAATATCAGTCATGTAACTATTAAAGTTTTCATCCTTTATTAACCTTCTTATTTGTGGACCATCAAAAATTCCGGCTTTAAGTTTCTCTGTGCTCAAATTATAGAACTTTTTAGAGATGTATTTAAAACAATCACCATCCTTATTCAGAGCTTTGACAAATTGTTTCATAAGCCCTAGTTTGATATGTAAAGGTGGCAGTATTATGCGATCCCTGTGCACAAGGGGTTCATTTATCACATTCAGTTTTCCCGGAACCATATCTTGCCTGGAAGGCCAATCTTTTCTAACCCAGTGCTCAGACTTAGCTCTGCTGTCCCACAGACAAATAAAACAAGGATATTTTGTATAGCCCCCTTGTTGTCCAAGAAGAAAATTCACCATTTTTAGATCTACACATATCAGCCACTTGTGTTCGTTGTACTTGATTCTAATATTATCTAGGGTTGGGAAATTATGTTTTGAATCTTTTCATCAACAAATCACGAATTTTTTAAGAAATATTTTGTAATAAATATTTTAATATAGTGGTAGTAAGCAAAGTAAAAAGTGTTAATATAATTTTTTTATAATGTATATTCCCTACCACAAAGTTACGGCTTCCGCAATTAATTTATTAAAAAACAGCTCGGTCAAATCAAACGTTTAAATGTGACTAGTACAGGAATATGTCTTACAGCTGTATCTCAAAAACTAGAGCTGCTAAAGAAAAAAATGGGGTTAGATTTGAAATCAGCGACCTTAAATTAATAAACAACAGGCATTAAATTCCATGCAACAAAAAAAAAGTTTAATTTTGTTCCCTTGTGTTATAACTGTAAAATCAGTGATTCTCAATAAACAATACGTTCCATACTGAAGCTTTAATAATAGTATTGAAATGATTAATATGTTTTTAAATAATTATATACCAATGAATATAATAAAATGGTCATAAATCAAGCGGCATATTAAATTTACTTTTAAAATTGGTTTGGAAAAATGTTCCTAAAATTAGTAAAAAATGGCGAATGCATCGGGATGACACAAAACAATTTAATTTAAAATTTAAACCCTATTATATATAAAGGAACATTTTAAGTCGAGCTTTGCGGACTTAAAAACTGTCATTTTAAAAATCTTAAAATTTCTAGATACACAAATAACTCAGTGGCAACAACATTGATTTTGTAGGGACTTACTGACACATATCGTAATTATAAAATTTTTAAAGAATAACTAGTGATATTCTCTAAAACTGGAAATGTTATGTTAAAACATACCTAACTGAAGTACTTTCTTACAACAAACGCACCTAATAAAACTCGAGAACCAA